TGCCTTAGAAAGGAAGGAAATTCTGACACCTGCTACGACATGGATGGACCCTGAGGACATGATGCTCAGTAAGATAAGCCTGTCACAAAAAGGCAAATAACTGTACGAGTCCACGTATCTGAGGTACTTCAAGTAGTCAAATCACAGAGACAGAAATTACAATGAGGGTGCCAGGGGCTCAGGGCGAGTTATTAATAGGTATAGAGTTTCAAATTTACAAGAGTATGGGGATGAATGGTGGTGATGGCTGCACAACAATGTGAATGCATTAAAAACCACTGAAGTGTACACTTAAAAATGGTTAAGATGGTAAATTTTTTGTTATATGTATTTTAACTCAATATAAAAAAAGGGGGGAAAGAATGAAAGAGCTATAAAGCCAAAAAAAGATACAGAGGGACCTTAACTACATGTTGCTACATGAAAGCCAGTCCAAAAAAGCTACAGACTCTAGGCCACAGTGTCCATACATTCCAATTAGGTTACATTCAAAACAGGGCAAAACTATAGAAAGAGTAAAAGGATGAGGGGTTGCCAGAGACGGGTAGGGAAGGGGTGAATGGGCAGAGCGCAGGGATTTTTAGGGCAATCCAACTATTCTGTGTGACCCAGCACCGTAATCGTGGAGACCTAACACTATGCATTTGTCCAAGTGTGAGGACCAGACAGTGCATCTTAACCCAGGGATCTAGTTAGTAACGATGGATCAATTCTGGCTCACAGCTGGTAATGAAGGAACCACACACACGGGTGGTAAGGCAAGATGATTATAACAGGAAAATGTGGGAGGGGGATTCTCTGCACTATCTGCTGAATTTTTCTGGAAATCTAAAACTTTCCCAAATAACAATCTATTAATTAAAAAGCAATAGGGGGGCGGCCGAGGGGTGCGTTGGTTAAGAGCTGGCTTGGGAAGCCAGCTCTGAGCAGCAGGGCCCTGGTTCGCATCCCACATGAGGGCCAGTGACACTGCCCTCTACAGCTAAGATGCTGAACAACAGCTTGACCTGGAGCTGGGCTGCTGTGAGTTGCCGGCAACGGTGTAGGCTGCAGCCCCTGCTGCAGTGGGCTGCCATAAGCTACCGTGGTGGCAGGCAGCCAGCGTGAGCTGCCAGCAGCCAGTGTGAGCTGCCAAGAGCCACCGTGAGCAGCCGTCCAGAGGCTGGCAACCGATCTGCCTCACCCGGGAAGAGCGCAATGACAATACCAACATGGGCCAGTGAAGCGACGTCCTCCACAACTAGACTGAAGAACAAAAGGACAGCAACTTGTCTGTTCCCCTTCCCCCAATTCCCCAGCGCTGTTCCCCTCCTCCAAGTCCCCAATAAAAAAAATCTTAAATAATAAAAAAAAAGCAATAGGAAGAAGAGAATAAGTAGACATATAGATGAAACAAGAATATCAAATATTGATAAATGTTGAAGCTGGGGGAGAGGTACGGGAGGTTAGTATTCTTTTCTGTGTAATTTGTATATGCTCAAGACTTTCCACCATAAAGTTTTTAAAACTCCAGATAAATTCAGAATTATAAGTGTAACGAATAAAACAACAAGAAATCAACAGGGTGTTTTTGAAGCAAGTATTCAGTTACTGACAAGAGGGACTGGTGGATTCACACTTAATGGAGAACATGGCGAGGCAGGGGGGAGTGACAAAGAAATGCAGATGAGGAAGTATGTTCACCCTCACTGGTCCACAGACATGCCAACATGTACCCTGATGGCAGTCCCACACCTGGAGTTACAGTGGACTCAGGGACAGGGCACCATGTCTCGTGAGAATGACAATCCACACCGGCTTTCCAGGTGGCAACGGGGACCGAGCTCCAAACCCCAGAACCCAGCTGCCCAGCGCTCTGTTCCAGGGAATGTGTCTAAACATAAAGGGATTGGCTAAAGATAATGGACTAAATCAACATTTGTGCGGCCCCTTTGACATAAACTCTACAAAATGATCACAGCAGCCTGGGAACATCAAGAAAGCAGGCACTTTGAGGAAGACATCAGAGAGAGACAGCAGGCGGTGTCACGCTGGGCAGGCCTGGGACACCAAGCCAGGCACTCTGTCTCCCTCTCACTCGCCCCCCTGCCGCTGGCCTAGCCTCCTGTGTCCTTCCCCTCCACTCCCAGCCAATGACCAGCCTCACACCCCAGGACACAGCAGAGGCACAGACAGGCCATTTGCACCCGGGCAGCATGTGTCCCCTTGCTCTCTGGCCTCCCCAGGCCACGCGGCGCAGCCCAGCTCACCCCTTCCTCAGCTCTCCCTCCGGGCTGCAGCAGACACTTGCTGGCTGGTCTCCACCTTACAGGTAAAAACGTCCCTTGGAGCCATGGTCCCTTGGAGCTACTGTCTGCTTCTCCAGTTCTTCCGCTGCCCACCCCGCTCCCCCAACCCCCAGCTCCATTCCCACTACTCCAAGGAGACTGCAGTCCCCAGTGACCCCATCTTTTCTCCACTCTGATCCGAAGTGGATCCAACCCAGCCAAGCAGCCTGCCCACCTGGAACAGCCTTACCCCGTGGCCCCACGCTCCCCACTTCCCCGTCTCCTCTCCTGGATCCTTTGGGCTGCACCTCTCCAAACATGGCTGCTCCTGGGCTGGGCCCAGCCCCTTCTCCAGCCAGTCTCTCCAGGTCACCTCACTCAGTTCCACGGCTCGAAACAGCTGTAACCTCACCCAACACTGCAGGCACAACTTCCAGAGATCGGGGCCAGGCCCCTGGCGTCAACACCTAAGGAGTATCTCAAACTCAATTCTCAACATTATACTGCCCTGTAAGTTCCAAAAAAAATCATTAACTATTTCCCAAAAGGGGGAGGAGGGAAATCTGGATACAATAAATAGTGGTGAATAAAGTCACCAATAAATGTATGCTGACAATTAATATGGTTGCTTGGAGGGGAAAATAAGAGTGTGGAACTAAGATCCCAGAGGGTCTCGACCTGGGAGTGGAAAGTGAAGAGTGGGAAGGCAGAGCACAGGAAGTCTCAACTTGCAGCATTTACGGACAGACAGGCGTCAAAGGTGGTTTTAAAGCTGAAGACATCCACTAGAATAGGAAGAGAAAAAGAAAGCCTTTTAAATTAAAAATGACATAAAATGGCAGGCCCAAATTCCAGCTTATCAATAGTCACAATTTTAAATGGATTAAATTACTCTATAGATGAAGGCTCTCAGACTAAGTTAAAATATAACTATGAAATAAAGGGATATAAAAAGGTTGAAAATAAGGAGATAGAGAACTAAGACTGTAAATGGGACCAAACCACGCTAACTGGCAGGGACACTTAACGCCTCTAACAACAGGGTCTTGAAACATAAACCAAAACTGGGCCAACGGGAAGAAAGGGCATGAGAAAAACAAGGCATGACGTGGATGGAGGAGTTGGGAAAGGGACCTGTTGACTAACGCATGCGAAGCAGCCAGATCCAGCCCAGCCCGACAATGTAACCAACTCCAAGAGAGGATACATTCTTCTCAAACCACAATGAAGCCCCCACAAAAACAAACTGGTTAAGACACAGTGAAATCTCAAAAGATTCCCAAAAGCACGTCTCTTTAAGTGACCACATTACAGAACCTTAAAGCAATACATTTAAAGGTAGTTATAAGTAAATTAGCCCCCTCCCCCAATCTATCCACCTGAAAAACAGTCAACACCAGTCTAATTTGGGGGAAAGAGGGCAGCAGGACTGAATAAGAAACTAGAAAAGGAGAGCAGTGTGTAGCAAATCCATGGTGTGGGGCCAGAGGGACTGGAGGCTGAGCCCCAACTGCAGGTATCAGGAAATATAAATGTACACGAATGAGCTAAGCACTTCCCGCCAGGGCCAGAACCACCACAAAATGAAACTGAAGAAAGTAGAAAGAAGTGAGGATTAATGAAGCAGAAACAACAGTGCAGACTTGCTCAATGGAGTGAAGAGGTGGTTGTCGGGAAAGACCTGTAACAGTGACAACTTTAGGACTCTGCCCAGGAGGCACAGACAAAAGCTACCAAAAAGTAACATCAGGAATGAGCGCCTACAAACAGGTCTAAAAGGACAGGAGAATACAGTGTGTAACTCCCACCAGTACATCAGTGGTCCTCCCCCAGGAAATGCACAGAATGGGTTTTGTTTTTTGCTTTTGCCAGTGGTTGCTGTCCTAGGGGTCCAGGAAGTCCTGAATAGCCTGTCACACAAGAACCTTTCGTCACCTGAAGTGTTAAATACATCTCCAAAAAGACAAACACTGATCCAGATTAAATGAACAATGTGGCAGGAAAGAGTTTTCCATGTATCTGTAACAGGTAAAAGATCCTAACCTCAATAGGTAAAGAATATCTAAAAACTAATTTCTACAAGTACTAAACAGTAAAACTGGGGGGAAAGCAAAACATAGCCAATAAACATACACAAAATATATCCAACCTATCTGTAGAGGCACAAGATAAGTATGGAAAAGCATAAAAAATAGTCTCAAAGACTCCACGCCAAATTTTAACAGCAACAGGAATCAAGTTGGGAGGCAGGTGAGAAGGGAATTTTCACTTCTTAGCCTATGCATGTCTGTAGTGCTTTCATTTTTATGTATGAGAACATATTCTGCTTGAAGAGATGTTTAAAATCTTAATGATGAACATTCAGAATGATTTTAACTTCAAGGACATTCATTACACCACCAGTGGAAAGAACCTCCCCATGATTTTAAGTCTCCCATCATTTTCTGATAGTTTACTACATCTACTTTATCTTACACTTAGATCCTAACCCATCTGGAATTTACATTTGTGGGAGTTCCGCCCGGAAGCTGGCTTTCCCCGCCCCAGTGGAAAACCAGCGCTGGGCACTGCTGAGCAGTCCTGGCTTTCCCAGCCCAGTGACCCACCCCAGGGCTGCAGAACGCCACCTGCCCTGCGGCGTGGGCTCCCTCTATGAGGCACAGCTGCGACCTGAGGCCGGTGGTGCTGAGCCCTCCTAAGGGACAGACGGTGAGCTGAGGCTCGGGTACTGACCGCGGCCGAGGGGCGGCAGGCTGCTCGGGCGGGATGCGCCGGCTTTCTGCAGCTCGTCCAGCTTCTCCTGCAGCTTGCGCACCTGGCTGTCGGAGCGGCTGACCCTCTGGCGCAAGCTCTTCAGCTCGCCGTTCTTCTTCTCCACCTGCTCGCGCAGGCAGCACACCTGGCTCTTGCTCTGCCGCGAGGAGAAGCAGTAGGAGTGCAGCGAGTCGATGAGTCTGCAGGCCCCCGATGCCGACAGGATGACCTCATTGATGGACATGGGGCTGGCATCGCTGTGCTCGCTCTGCACGGCTTCCGCGGCTGGTTTCGGGGTGACGTCCGTTGGAGGGGCAGAGGGGCTCTGGGAGGGCTTCTGAGGCGTCGCAGTCAGTGAGGAACTCGGGGGGCTTTGTGCCAGGCCCTTCTCGGGCCCCAGGCTGGTCCCGCTACAGCCGGGCTCCATGTCTCTCTTCAGCCTCTTCCGGTCGACAGGCTCACGGGGGACAGATGGCCTCTCTCGAGTGTGCCTGGAGGAGAAACTGTAAGAATGAAGCGAGCCAATAAATTTGCAGGCCCCAGACCCTACAGGTGTAAAGTCATCCTTGGAAATGCCACTCTTATCCAACAGGCCCCCATCGGGGGAGGTGACGCTGTCATCGCCAACATCGCCAGCAGGCGCATTTGCTGCTGCCCGGCTGCCTGATGCTGTGGTGGCCGGAGCGTCACCTGGAAGTCCCTCCGGAGACTGCCGTGCCCGCTCCTGACGGGCCGTCCGCCTGGCCTTGTGTGACTCTGGCTTGGCCATCGGGTTCTCAGTAGAGGACGACGAACCTGCAGCACCTTTCCCGTCTGCTTCACTCGTATGTCCCCTCAGGCCCCCAGAGGCCTTTCTGGGGTCCTTTCTCCGGGTCCGGCCATGGCCTGCAGCCCCCCTCTTCTTCTCAGTCAGGTGGAAGATGGAGGGCACGGCCGTGGGCTTGAGCAGGCGGTGCTGATCCTCCAGCCTTTTGGAGAAGCTGTCTTTGGTGAAATGTTCACTGCAGAGGAAAGAATACTTAGTGGGGGTCCAGTTATCCCTCTGAACAGCCTTTAACCACTGGAGGAGACGTTTTGAGTCCTTTAGGGGGAACCTGCAGGACAAATGACAAAGGAATTAGAAGAAAATAATTGCATATCTTCCCCTAAACTTATCAACTATAAAAGAAAAACAAAGTGTTTTTGCAAACACCCAAACCTGTATTGACTTTGCCCACTTAAAAATGTAGTCAAGGGCAGCCGGTTAGCTCACTTGGTTAGAGCGCAGGCTCATAACACCAAGGTTGCTGGTTCGATCCCCACATGGGCCACTGAGCTGCACCCTCCACAACTAGATTGAAACAACTACTTGATTTGAAGCTCCTGGGTCCTGGAAAAACACACCGTTCCCCAATTTAAAAAAAAATGTAGTCAAGATTTAAGGAACACCTTCTGCTTCCAAGTTCCTCCTGGGATAGAAAGATGAACGGGCCATTGTCGACTTACAGTCACGGGGCCCACAGGAATGAAGGGAGACAGCTCCTCCCAAGCTGCCACACTGCAATGAGTAGGGACACAGAATGTGCAGAGGCGGCACGGGGCGAAGCACAGGACGGCTTCAGGACACCCCAGAAATAGTTTCTAGAAGCTCACAGCTGACCACCCTCCCAGTGTGCCTGGGATGCAGGACGTTGGGTGCTAAAAGTGGGATGGTTGGTCGGTCCCCCTATTTAGAAGCCAGACCAGGTATTGGCCAGCAAAGATGGCAGCCAGAAGAGCACCCCAGATGCCCAGCGGGGTGCCCGGCGCCAAGAGGCCTGACGAAAGGTGCAGCTCTGTGTCCTCCTCTACTTCCGCTCCCAGCCCTTGGAAGACACTAAGTAAGACACCTAATCATTTCTTCTCATCAAGGCAAGACCTATACGTAGAAAACTGACCAAACGGTACGCGTGGGGGCCATCTGCTCCACTGGTCATCTAACCCACCTGTGGATGAGGACAGGGTGGACGCTTGCTCCTCAGGAAGTTCTACAAGACATGGCCTTCTAAACTTCCTCAATATTTTGTGCACCCATTTCCCGCAGACCCCCAGTTCCCACGTCCTTTGCCCCCACACCACCTTAGACCACGATGGATGCCAAGAGCAGTCTTCTCTGCAGTGCTTTGCCTCCATATCGAAAACAGCAACAAAACTTTTGGGGCCCAAAGGCTCTGAAGGAAACTGAGTAAAGCACGGCGGCTGCTCTGAACTAATGTAGTGTTACTAGTTCTTTTATAGACTGCAACGACGTGAGACTTAGCACACACCACTGCAAACTTTCAATAAGATAATAAATAGCAAGTGTCACTCAGGTCTTTAGAAATTGAATCCTAACACCCGCAACACAAAACAGAAACATCCCTTCAGTTTAGCGTTCCAGTGCCTCCTGCGCCTGAGTCACTCCGGCCCGGCCGCGGAGACGGCAAGCCCCTGGTCCCGCGCGGGCGCCCACGCAGAGGCGAAGGGAGCCCCCCAGCCTCGGCGGGGCAAGCCTGTCCGTGAAGCGGCGCCCTGCCCCACGCAGGCGGGAGGCTGCCGGAGTCTCTCCTGGGACTCACCTCACACCGGGGCACGGCCGCCTCTCTTCCCTCGGGACTGCGAGGACCCTTCCAGCAACACCGCCCTGGGAGCGCGTGTCAACCCACGAGGCGCAAGACCCACTCGCTCCGCCACCTTGCTGGTGGCAGAATCACGGCAGCCTTCCCCGCAAGAGGAGAAAGTCGCACCTAACGCCGGAGGACCGCTGACCTGGGGAAGAGCTTCCCAGACACACGGGTCTGGAAACCGGCTGCGCCAGCCGAATCAATGGAGCCCGGGGAGGCCGCTGGGTGGGGGGAGAGGGCAGCGCAGGCCGTGAGGTGGGCGCCGGCGGCCGCGGGGTGGCCTCCGAGTGGGCGTGCGGTGGGCGCCCGGTAGCTGCAGGGTAGCCACCCGGGGCGCCGGGGGCCGTCGGGTGGCCGCCGCTGGCCGCGGTGGCCGAGGCGTCCGGCCCAGAGACGGCGGCCCGGGCCAAGGTCACACAGCGCCCTGCGCTGACTCACTCGCGGGACCGGCCCCGAGGCCCGGCGCGGAAAGCGCCCCCTCGGGCCGGGCCGCGCCGCCTCAGTTTCCCCGGCGCCGGGCCGGGCGGGGGCGTGGCCGGCGGGCCGTGCGGGCGGCCGGCCGGGGCCCAGTTACCTGTGGAAGGAGACGGCGCGCTTCTCCCCTTTGCCCTGTCGGTTGGAGCAGTTCGCGGCCGCGCAGCAGATCACCATCTCGGGCCTTGGACGCCGCGCCGCCGCCAGGCTCCGGCCCTCACCTCGCCGCGCCGAGCCCGGAGCGGGACCGCCCCGAGGGGAGGCGCACAGAGACACGGCTGCGGGACGTGGGAGCCGGCCCCCGCGGCGCCGTACGACAAGATGGCGGCGCCCACTTCCCGGCCGCCGGCCGTCGACCCTCTGTTCGCCCGAGATCTCAGGCACCCGGCGGGGCGCTGCCCGCGGCTCGCGGCGTCGGGGGTGGGCGGGGGCGCCCGGGCCGGCCTCTCTACGGCGACACTCCGCGCTGGGCCCGTCCGTACGGCAAGATGGCCGCGCCTGCGAGCCCGGGCGCACGGCCGGCGAACGCGCTCGCCCCAAGGCCTCGCTGCCCTCCGGCTCCTGCTTCCGCCGCCCCGACGGGTCATCGTTGGAGTCCTCGGAGAGAGCGCCGAAGGCCGTCGCGTAGCTTAGCGCGCGGGCTAAGACCTTCGTGCTGGGACCCGCCGTACGCCAAGATGGCGGCAGGCGCACTTCCGCGCGCACTTCCGGCCCCGCCCGCGCTCCGGATTGGCCCCAGCGGCGGCCCGTCGCGTCGCGTTGCGGACCCGTCGGAGCGACGCGGCGCTCAGTCGGCGGCCGGAGAGGGAAGATGGACGCAGGTAAGGCCCTGCCCGGGTGCTGGGGACCTGCGATGGCGCTTGTCTAGCCCCTAGGCCTCTGGGGACTCGCCCAGCGCTGCCCGGGAACCGGGTGGGCGGAGCGCGGCCCCGGGCGGAGCGGGCGGGGGTGGTGTCCGTGGGGAGGCCAGCGCGGATCTGACGGTCGGGTACTTGCGTGTCTCGGCGCTTTCCCGGTCCGCCCGCAGCGCCCGGGTGACCGGCTGGGCAGACGCAAGGCCGGCTCCAACGAGAAGGGGCAGCGCGGCGCCCGGGACGGGAGGGTGGGGCGCCGGGCGCCGCTCGGGACTCGGACGGAGCTGGTTCTGGAAACGGCGGTCGTAGAAAGCTATCGCCTCCCCCGCACTAGGAGTTAAGTGGAACCTGTTTAACTTTTGTAAAGTTGTGTTGGTGGGCTGGCGGCGAGAAACAGACTGAACGCTCCCAGCACAGGCATTTCGGTAATCAGTGGGTCACCCGAGCTTTTTCTGTAATTGAAAAGAGAAACTGAAGCCGTCTCATCATATCTAAACTTCTTGGAGTACTAACACAAATTGGGGGTTGAGGGTGTATGTACACTCGTACATGTGAACACATGTATGTGGTGTTTCCACCTACCTCCTCATGCTCCTGCTTGTCAATTTTTGCTGGTAAGATATTTTGGGTCACTGTCCAATAGCCTTGAAAGCATTTTTACACGGGCTCTCTTTTTCATCCCACAGCAGTTTTAATTCTTTCATTCCTTGTAGGCTTGTAGGGAGTGATTTGCCTCCATCTATAAAGGAAAGTTTTCATCTGGCTTAATCCCACCTGTCATACTGGATGGCAGTGTCTTTGCTTCGTTTTCTTTTCCTGGCCGCTGCAACATGAACTTAATGAAATCTTAGATTGGAAACTGTAGAGTAGACATGAATTGCCAATATTTCAGTGATTTGGGGCATTTTGTCACTTAAATGTTAAGTGGCTGGAGGAAACAGTAGCCCTGACTCCCAAAGGAGCATGTTAACCACATGTATTTTTTGTGAATGAAGTTCGTTTTAAAAGGAAAAAAGTATCAGACATGAATTGTTTGCTGGGGCATGGGGTGGGGAAGGAATAGAATTATCTACTTATCCACTTTCTTTTACGTTATTACTGCATGTATACCTAAGGTCGTTCATATGAGAGATTTGCTTAAGGTGGAAAACAGTTTAATGTCAGTCATACTACCTTAAATGTGAAAATCATCATGTTAAAGTTAGGAGTGGCCACATGATGACACCCTACTGGGACACTGAAGGCGGCTTCAAAGTAGAAAAGGTGTTTGCACTTGAAGGTCTCTGTTGATGCTGATAAAAATGTATATGATGTTTGTAGGGTGTGGTGGGGAGTTTTCTTTGGTGTGATGCTTACATGCCTTTAGGGATGATTTATGGTCCCATCTTCCTTGATCCTTACAGGTTCTGCCTTCCTGGTTGTTTTTATAGTCATCCACTCGGTAAACCCCATTTATCATTGAGCACAAGGTTTGTGTTAGGCATTGTTTTAGACGCTGGGGCTAGAGAAATGAACAAAATACACGAAAACTGTGCTTTGGTTGACATTCTAGACATGACACCAATGGCGGGGGTCACATGCAAGAGTGATGGAGGCCATGCGGGCAAGGGTTGGAGTTGTAGCCAGGATGGCCAGGAAAGGGCTCACTGCAGACATAAGTTTGACCAAGACCCAGAAGCAGTGAAGGCGACTGCTGTCCTCCGGGAGCAGCAAGCAGGCCAGTGTGGCCGGGGTGCAGCAGGTGGGGGTGAGAGAAGCCAGAGCTAAAGGCAGAGGGGCGACCTGGACTCAGTCATGGGGCCTGGTGGGTCATTGTGAGGACTTGAGCATCTGTTCTGAATGCGATGTGACCCTTCGGAAGGTTTTGAGAGGAGGGATAACGTGACTGGATGTGTGTTTAGCAGGCTTGCTCCGGCTGCTCTGGTGAGAAGGTACCGTAAAGGGGCAGGCTCAGAAGCCAGGAGACCAGTTAGGAGCTGTTGCAGTGAGCCAGGCGAGAGGCCTGGGAGAGGTCGCTGGGGAGAGGAGCTTGAATTCTGGGTGTGTTTGAAGGTTGAGACAATAGGGCTGTGTACAGGTTGGAAGTGGGGAGCAGTGGGGATGGAGAGGAACAAGTTGAAGATGGTGCTGAGGTTTATGATCTGAGCTAGAAACTAGATGGGGAAGACAGGGATATCCTGCTTGGGGGTGGGGAGGAGCCTTTGGGAGTTGGTTTTGTACACGTTGACTGTGAGGTGCCTGTCAGACAGTCACGTGATGTCCAGGGAGCCTTGGCTCCATGGGCCTGGAGCTGAGGGAGCAGACCTGGCCACTTTGGAGGAGGTCACTGAGGGTCTGAGTGGCGGAGGAAAGAGAAGGAACCAGGGAGGGGGTGCCCAGGGCTGCCAGCGTGTGGAGGTCCAGAAGGTGCCAGGCAGACCACAGGCTGGCTGTCTTCTCCAGTGAGCCTCCAGCGCTGTCCATCAAAGCACTCCCGGTTCAAGGCACTGGCAGGGGCCAGCACTCAAATGGCCACGCTGTCGTTCCTGGAAGACAGAGCCAGTGTCTTGTGCTCGCGTCGCCAGTGCTGCACGTTGTGTCTGGCACACTGTTGGTGACATGAATTAATCACTTACACATCCTGGGCTGTAAGAACTTCGGTTTGTAGAGTTTGTGTATAAACCCCAAATCCAGTCTGCTAGTGGAAGGTAGTGAGCGAGCAGGGCTGCTCACCGCAGGGCAGGGGCTGTGATGTGGCCGTTCTGTCAGTGTGTTCGCTAAAGCTGTGTTTTCTGCTTTTCTGATGTAGCTGAAGTTCCAGGTTCTGTCCCTGCCTCTTTCTTTCTCCCTCCCTCCCTTCCCTTTTTCATTCAGAACTGAATCACCAGCATCTTCATATAAAGTAGTAGGGGTTTTAAAAAACTACTTGCAAACTCATTATCTTAAACAAACCTTTAGATTTTATTTACAAAGTATATAATCTTTTAGGAAACATAAGTGTTTGGGGGAAAGGTCTTAGAAACATGATGCACTATGGTAAGCTTTAAAAGAAATGTAATGGTGAAGTTTTTTGTGGTTCTCCCTGGTTGAATTACAGTGTAATTGGTATTAAGTAGGAGAAGTTGGTCACATTTATTGAACACAATTCCCTGTTTTTCTGTCTGTCAGATTAATGATATTAAATCAAAACTTTATCTCTAACAGAATTACCAGGCTCTTATAGGGCTTTCCACTTCCGCTTCTGGGTGTATCACGGACATCCCAGGGAAGATGGGGAAATGAGGCATCTGGGACCCAGGTGGCCTAATGGGGAAAGTGCTTCTACAAGGGCCTCTTCCATAAGGCGGACAGCACCTCTCCATCTGCTTCTCCTGCGTGTCATCTTATTTCAAATTAAAATCATGACCAGGAGTCTGGAAACTAGCGTTCTTTCCGAGGTTTGAGTCCTTGTAACTCAGGAGGTATGTGAAATGCTTCACAAACGATATGACGTCGAGTGGAAAGAGGAGGACAATGTAATGCAAGCTGTGGATTGATATGAGGGAGCCCCTGGGAAGTGGGCGGAGGCTGCTGGTCCAGCTGAGAGCAGAGCCCAGAGAGGGGGCTTGGAGCGTGGGCCTCCGGTGTTGGGCAGCCCACGCAAAGGCTTGTGATTGCGAGCTTTCGTTCTAAAGGAGACAAGGATTAGCTTTCTACTGAAATGTTTTCTGAACTGGTGTCCCATTTTCTGTTGCAGAGAAGTGTTAGTACATATTTTGGCTAAATGGATATCGATGATAAAACAAAAGTGGTGTTTTGTTCGGAGGAAGGGGATTTAGTGTTGTCTTAGAAGTCACGAGACCTGAAATAACACAAAAAGAGAAAGGGGTGCTCAGAACCGTTGGTGGGTGCTGTGCATGTTGCTGGCGCCTTGCCCCCACCCGTGTTCTGTCCCCACCGGCACGATTCAGCAACTTTGCCCCATTCATGGGCGAGGAGACCAGAGCTTAGAGACATTAAGTCATGTGTCACAGCTAGCAACTGGGCTCTGTCTTCAAAAACAAATCTTTGTAGAATTAGAACTAGAACATTTCTCCTTCCTCCATGAGAAAGTAGGGCCCAGAAGGTCAGGGAGCTTGGCGGTCTGGTCCAGACGCCTCCATCGTGCCGAGGGAGCTGCGAGGGCCCGGCCTGCGGTGTTCCAGACGTCGGCTGTCCTGCAGAGCAGGTGGGACAGCGCAGAGCCCCGACGCCAGCCAAGGCACGGGCAGCTGCTTAGGGATGAGAAGTGCTTCACCTCCTTTTCTGGCCAAAGTTGCTGCAGGTCCGAGACCCTTCATGCTGGCATTTTAGGGTAAACGCTTACGGCATTTGGCCCACCTGTGCGGGGGCATGGATGCTGGCCTCAGCTCTCAGTGCAGTCCTGTCTCTTGTGAGGATAGGGTGTGAGCCTGATCCGTGGTAGTGAAGTAATTCGCGTGTCAGGTCGGCTTCCTGTTGATGTTTTACGAGGTGTTGCAGACTATGGACACTCTCTCCTCCTGCTGTCATCCATGTGTCCCCCACTTCAGGGAGTCCCAAAGGGCCCACCAGAGACCTGCTTACTGTCGCTCAGCACGGGTCTCGGCTTTTTCACGTTTATTAACTTGTTTCTTCCTCTCACAAGTCTTGAAGAAGATACAGCTGTTCCCATTTACGAGTGAGAAAACCAAAGCACATAGAGGTCCCTGACTTGTGGTGATCACATGACTGGTCAGGGCCGCTCAAGCGTCTGGCTCCGCAGCGTGGGGAATGTGGACGCTCCCTGCACGTTGTGTCCTCCAGGGCACAGAGAGGCTGCGAGGGCCCCCTCGAGAGGAAGCTACAGTGCAGTGGGAGGAGCGAACGCAGTGTGTGCGCCCACTTCTGGAGGCACATATGACGCGCACGCTCAGCTGTGGGAGCAGGAGGCCTGGGTGTTTCCAGAGACAGGAAGCGTGGTGACGTGAGGGCTGTGGGGGCCTCGTAAAGGCCCCGCAGATAATGCGCGCCGTCACTCTGTGGCTTCTGCTTGGTTGGTGCGAGCTGGGGTTGCTTCCTGGGGCTTCAGGTGTCTCCATCTCCTCCCTGGCTTTAGGCTCATGCAGCAAAGAATCAGGCCACACAACCCCTAATTTTCCCAGTAAGGAGTGGGTGATGTGTTCTGACTTAACAGAACACCTCTTACTACCTTCCCTCTGAAGTCGGCTTCATTGCCCATAAAGTTTGCTAATAAACATAGGAACTGTGCCTGCTTTGCGTTTTGCCACTTCAGTGATGGAAACCCCTCAGCTTCAGCGCTGCCCTGGGCATGGTCACCCTCCTCTCAGATGAGCCTGTCTTCCTTCCTTACCGACTGTCCTTGCTTGTCATTTTCTTAATACGGGAGGCCGGGTATCTGAGGAGTGCCTCAGTACGCCCTCCGCTAATGCAGACGCCCCCGTCTGTGTCGTGGTCCTTGCATGTGAGCCCCTGCTCGAAGCCCGGGGCCTCAGCCCGGCACCTGGGCACACAGCCTGCTCTGACCCTGTCAGCCTTCAGGTGAGAAGAAGCGGGTAGATCCGGGCCTGGGCCCCGATGCTCAAGGACTCCTTACATGGCGAACACGGGCCCTCTGTGGCTGCGGGAGCTGCTCTCCAGCCCTGAGACGGGATTAGCTGTGCACCCAGTTCAGCTTCTGGCTGTCGCAAAGCGCTCGCCTCAATGGCAGTGGCAGTGGCAGAGGCTGACCTCGAGCCCGTGTGTCGCCGGCCTCTATGAGCATCTCTGGGGAAGGGTTTTGTGACAGCACGGCCACGCTGCGAGGGCGTCCTGCGTTTTTCACAGTTCCTGGGTGGGGGAATTTCCACCCCGAGAGGCCAGGAACCTTGTGCGTGCCCAACCGCCAGGCACCAGGCAGCACTTGTCCTGCTCAGGAAGACACTCATGGAGCCCACAGGGCACCCCGGCAGGACCCCGAGTTTGTTAGGGTGTGGATGCACAGGAGCAAAATGCTGTGGGGCCGCCAGACCCTGCTGGGCTTGTGGAGGTGGCGGGGGAACCGAGCCTCTTGGAGTTGCAGGGTAAAGGTGAGACCACGGGTGCTGTGGCTTCACTTAGGGACCTGCCGTGGGGCTTCTGGAGGGTCCACTGCTGGGTGTGAGGCTGCATGCGACGCTGAGATATCTGTGTAGCCTGGGTTTTTAAAAAAATAAATAGCATATGTAATTTTTACCAAAAGGTAGAGCTATTGTCAAAAAACTTAGGCTAAGCGAGAAATGTGATAGCGTTGATTTCCAAAGATTTCTGTGAAGCTGCAGGTGAATGCCATGACCCTGCCCCATGGCCACTGCAGGCAGCAGACAGAGATGTGTTCAGGTTCTCTGAAGAGCAGCTGCAGGGATGGGGTTCCTGGAACCCTCTGTGTGCACCCCACCTCGTGGGCGGGCACCCTAGGGCTGGGGCTGATGTCCTCAGCCAGCGTCCTGTAGCCACAGTGGCCCCTGGGCCTGCAACACAATAGGATGAGGCTTGGGGCTCGGGGCTTGTTAGCTTAGGAAGCAGATCCCATGCCCCACACACAGCGGCCTCCTCAGGAAGTGGGGCACTACCCATGGACGCTGGTGGCTGTGCCCTTCTGGTAGCATCATCAAAGTGAAAGCGGGCTCTAGGCCTTGGTCTCCGGGCGTCTGGCACCGGGAGCCTCGGGGGACTTTTCTCTCCATTTCTGGAGCTCAGTGTCCCCCCCTCCCCCCCAGGAGTTAGCACCCTGCCCCTTACAGCTAACTGCTCCTCACCAAGAAATCTGGAGTGCACTAGGACCCCTGTTGTGTGGGGGCCTGGTGTTTCTTGCCCCTGAAGCAGTCCTCTGGGCACATGCTCCAAGGTGATGCCTGGCATTTGGGGACAGCTGTGCAAGCCCACTCGCCTCCTGTGAGCCTGCAGCCTCCCTTGTATCCAAGGATAAGGATGTGGTTTCATTTTATTCCTGCCCTTTAGATTGGAAACATTTGAAGTCTAAAACGAGTGCTGAAATCAGGTGGCTTTATTTTTTGTTTTTGTTTTGCTTTGTTTAATTTTTTTGCTTCGTCTCCTGTGGGCCTGGCCCCTGATTGATGTCTCACCCTCGGTTCTGCCAGCCAGCTTCTGACTCCAGCTTTGAATCTGAAAGGCTCAGGCGGTGGGGTGGCAGGGCCCCCCTCACATCCCCGTTTGCTCTGTCAGCGGCTCTGAGACACAGAATTCCTCATGGGTTTTTTTAAATACAGAAATGCAGTAAATGAGCTGTGATAATTGTTTTATAAAGTTATAAAAATTTGATCATTGTGTGCCTTTGGTTTTAATAGCTACTCTGACCTATGACACTCTCCGATTTGCTGAGTTTGAAGATTTCCCAGAGACCTCAGAGCCTGTTTGGATACTGGGTAGAAAATACAGCATTTTCACAGGTATTAGCCACATTGGAGCCCTCTGCACTCTTAGTGCTCAAGCTGCAAAGAGCGTGTTGTGATAATAATAGTTACCTGCTAACTCCCTGTGGCATACGACCTACGTACTTAAGGCTGTGTGTGTGCATGTTTTCTTCTCTTAATCATCCTCTAGAAAAGGACGAGATCTTATCCGATGTGGCGTCCAGACTTTGGTTTACATATAGGAAAAACTTCCCAGCCATCGGTAAGTACTCCGTTCGTTGCAACATGTGATGAAATGTATACGTTTTAGAGGGGGAAAACTTAGGTTTTTAAGTCGTTTGACTTGAATACGCCAAATACTTGTCACAGCCTCATTATGTAACCAGCTCCATCCCAGACCCAGAACCTCTGGCCGAGCTTTTCCCACAGGCCACCGTTTATTCCTGGGGCTGAAACTCAGAATAATGAGTCACCACCAGCTTTAAAATGTAGACGAGAACGGAACTGAAGCAGTGTGTCACCTTCGGGGCAGCGGGTTGCTTCAGGGGGTGTTGTTAGGCTATGCATTTGAATGTTGTCCTGGGGAATGGCTATAGGCCCAGGATGGCCCAAGTGTGGCCCTGTGCCCGCCATCTTCTCCAGCGAGGTCCACGCTTGGCTGTGGGGAGAGCTGAAGGGGGAGGGGGATGTCACGTGTTTTCATGGAACACTGAATTCTGTTCCATTACAACTGATTCTTCATCATTGTGCCCTGGAGGTGGGCACAGGGTGCGGACCAGCTCTCGGCCTGGCCTTTGCAGTTGGAGGATCCGAGCCCAGAGGTTCGGGGCCAGGAGCCTGCCGTCCTGGATGCCTGGTCTCTGTACGGTGCCTCCGAGATGTGGTTGCTTCTGTTCTCCAGAAGTGAGGTGGCATAAAGTCGCCGCAATGCTTGTCTTTCAGGGACACTGAAATGTAGGGAAATGAGACCAGTGACAACACATGCACATGTGCAGTGTGATCTGTCAGGCGCTCTGGAAATGCCCGTTCGTCCCACAAGTGCTGGTCGCACACCTGCTTGGCCCTGGGTGCAAGGGATGGGGTTGGCCACCTCCCCAAGGGGATAGCGCAGTCCTGCAGGTCAGGTGTCTGAACACACAGAGGAGGACAGGCCAGGGGGGTGCTTCCGCCCCAAGACAGGATGGGCCACAGAACCCTGGGGGGCTGTTTCTGCACCCACCATTGCCTTGAGAGGTGGGCTTTGTGCACCTGCATGCACGGGCGGGCTGCCCGAGGCCAGGAGGTGGCGCTGCGGCCCACGTGATCTGGCTCTGGGTCTGCTCGTCCACCTCCCGCTTGCTGGGGGGTCCTGCTGATGCTCGGGGAGGAGGGCATTTCTTGTCACATCAGGGCCTGTGTCACCATACACGCAGCACCACGTGCCCGTGAAGTGACGCGGTTGGCTGAGGGCATGTGAGCTTTAAGCGCTGAGCCACCTGAACCCTCCCCACACCCCGTACCCCTGCCTGCTTGGTGGCTGACAGTGGGCTCCTCACCCACTGACGACACCTCATGCTTTCCAGATGTTCCCATTTCCCTGTGACTGACCTGCTCACTCATTTTGCCCACTTTGAGGGGGTTCCTGGGACATTTCATTTCCCAGCAGCGCAGGCTTGGCTTGACCAGGTTCTAGGAAGCATGTGTCGCCAAAAGAGAGCTGACACCTCAGTGTGGAGTTGACCAAGCGCGTACAGTCATCCCCAGTTGGACCGCCTGACGGTCCGTCTGCTCTCTGTTCGCCACGACAGGGGGGACCGGCCCCACCTCGGACACTGGCTGGGGCTGCATGCTGCGCTGCGGACAGATGATCTTCGCCCAGGCCCTGCTGTGCCGGCACCTGGGCCGAGGTGAGTGGCGCTGGGACAATGGCTTCAGGAGGCACAGACGGCTGGGCAGGTGGCATGGATGGCTCGAGGAATGACCCACTGGTTCTCACTGATTTAAATGAGCGACTTGAAAGGGGGCTGACAGATGTCATCGGAAATGGCCTTTGAGCCCCTGCAGCCTCTGCTGTCCACGTGGATTTGTGTTGACGAGTCGGCGTGGTTAGAATCTGCGGAACTGGCTTTAACTTGAGCAGGGTTCAGAGCGGTGTGGGTCGTGTATGTCCTGAGAGTTTCACATCCGGTAACATTGAACTTCTGACTCTGTCCCAATAGATTGGAGGTGGTCACAGCAAAAGAGGCAGCCAGACAGCTACTTGAATGTCCTCAGCGCATTCATGGACAGGAAGGACAGCTACTACTCCATCCACCAGATAGGTGGGCGCTGTGGTGCGCTGGGCCCGGGCAGCGGACTGCGGGCAGCGAGTCGCAGGGTTCCCAAGAGCTTTGCTGTGCTGTGTGTGCCCCGCTGTCAGCACCGGGGCTACTGGGTCGGGGGGGGGGGCAGGCTAGCTCAGACCTGATGCCTCATGTGCCCGCGTAGGCTGTGTGGCCTGCTGACTATCACAGCATCTGCATATTGTTCTTGGTGATCACAGAGTCTGTCCCTCTCCACTCCCATCAGCGAGTCTGCTCCTTTGTTTTAATCAAGTCCAACTTTTGAGCATCATGTTCTCAGTTGTAGAAGGAAGTAAAAATGGAGCTCTGAACTCACCAATCTGAGTCATTTCACTTCCTTAATCCCATTCCAGTCTGGCAGTGAGAACAGACCTTGAGGCACGTTGGTCGCTGTTGGAGGAAGCGACCTGGTACCTGGCAGGGGCTTGTGCTGGAGGCAGGGCTGGGCCTGTCATCCAGGCTTCCTGTAAAGGGTTCCTGATGCCACGTGCCACCAGGAATGGCCTCTTCTCAGGAGGGAGGGGTGTCAGAGGGTCGGGCGTGTGTGTCACTAACCAGCTGTTTCCTGTAGCGCAAATGGGCGTTGGCGAAGGCAAGTCCATCGGCCAGTGGTACGGGCCCAACACAGTCGCCCAGGTCCTCAAGTATGTACCAAGCCCCGTCCTTCCCATTCTCTGGGGAACGTGTGTGTGTGGCCTGGGGTGGCAGACTCACTGAGGCTTGTTTCCAGAGGCCGTGAGGGTCCGTCCCGTACCCTGTTTTCAGGGCCTTCAGGAAGGCCCTCAGAGGTGACCAGCCACGGGATCTTGCGACTCGGTTTAGTTTTGGCAGAGGATGAACACCTTCATCCAGGTTGCGCCCGTTGGCTTAGGCCTTTGTTCTTTGTCAGTGGGCCCGCCCTGTGTGGTCTGATGGTCAGGAAGGTTGAGAGCGGTCCGAGCAACACCGGTTCAGGAGCAGGTGGCCCTCGGTGCAGGCAGGCTCCATGGGGCCCCGCCTCTGTTCTGACCCCTCCCCCTTCCTTGAACCCTGCCAGTCCAGCCACGTCCCCCTCTTCCTCCTGCTTCGTGTGTCTGCCGGCCTGCTCCCTGCCCCACAGGCACCCACACTTGGCCTCCCGAGGTTGCCCTTCCCTTCCTGCCCCAGCCTGCCCCCTTGTGGTGGGTGCCTGCCACCTCCACCCGGCTGCCCTTGTCGGGTCCCTCCGCACCCTCCGGGCACTTCCTTCTCGTACACATCCAACCTCCAACCTCCAGCCGGTCCCCAGGCCTGCCCGCTGTTCTCCGTGTCCAGCCCCTGCCACGCTTAACTTAGGGCCCTGGGCCCAGCTCTGCATGCCTTGGAAACGTGGTCCGCATGCATGGTGCATGCGCTCTGCCTGTCTTGTACCACTCACTCCCGCCTTTGTCCCCACTGCTGCCCTGAAGCAGCCCTGTCAAGGTCACCATCGGCCCTGTTGTCAAGTCCCAAGGTCGAGTTTCTGTCTGGACCAGCTCGCTGTCTGCTGTTTCTGGAAACTTGGGCCACAGAGCCATGCCCTCCAGTCCCCCTGTCTCCGGCCTTCCTGGCCTCCGTCACTGCCGCCTGTGACACCACAGGCGAGGCTCAGGCCTCTGGCTGCTTCTCTTTCCTCTGCCCATGCCCAGCTTCAGCTGCTATCTGCATGCACAGCTCCCCCAGACTCCAGGCTCTCGTCCAGGTGCCCACTCAGCCAGGCGCCTTGGATGTCCGAGGGTCCTGCCCACCTAACGCCCGGAACCCAGGCGGGCCCTTCCCCCGCGCAGCCTGCTTCTGCAGTGAGGGCAGCACCACACCCCCGGCCAGTGCGTCCTAACCGGCCAGTGTGCTCACCCCACTGTCCTCACACTGCTCCACGCCCATATCTTGCCTCCTTTCTGGTCTTCTCTCTGCCATCCTAGAGTCTGTCTTCAAACGGCAGCAGAGGTCATCTCCGTAAAGTCTGAGTCTGAGTCAGCCACCCGTCCCTCCGCTTAGCACTCCCAGGTGACTGCAGGCCCCCACAGCATGAGTCATCCAAACTGTCAGCTCACGGCGTGTCCTCCCCTTTCTGTTAGGAAACTTGCCGTCTTTGACACGTGGAGCGCCTTGGCCGTGCACATAGCGATGGACAACACGGTGGTGATGGAGGACATCAGTAAGTGACAAGAAAACGGGCCGGGGCTGGCGGGACTCGGGGGGCGGCTGCCGAGCACACGTCCCTGCTTGACCCGCAGCGGAGCCTCGCCTGGGGGGGTGTATTGTTTTTGGATACCCCTGTTGTTTGCGGAAAGTGAAAGAATTCACAAGACTTAGAAAAGTAGGGAAACAAGAAAAGGTTTACCGAAAGTCGGGCAGTGAGGGTGCCCGTGCCAGTGTCTAGAGAAGACGGGAGCGCCGGCAGAGTTGCTGTTGGGGGCAGAGTCTAGAGGAGACGGCTACAGTGGGTTTCTGCTCTGCTGCAGTTTTACATTTTTCTGTGCAGAATGCAGGGTGCTCATCAGCTTACAGGGGAGCTGCTGTTACAATTGGCCTCCTCTGGGAACTGTCGCATTCCCATTCGTGATGGATGCAGGGCAATTGTCAGCCCGCAGGGGGCTGCTTCTGGGAACCATTGTGTTCCCATCTATGATGGGTGTTTGTTAGTTTGCAGGGGTTGCCGTTGGCCTCCCCTGGGAACTGTTCTGTTCCCATCTGTGATGGATGTAAGGTGCTTGTCAGCTTACAGGTGCAGTGCTAGCCAGGGGATTCAGAGCCAAGTGGTTAATGTTTAAGCTCGTCCCTGCTAGCTCCCACGCTCGCTCCTGCTAACCCTTTACCTGTCTCCTCAGGGGGCTGTGAATGAGTTTTTCAGAGCAGACGGGGACCCCATGTTCTCTTACAGTGGGGACCAGGCTGAGGGGAAGGGCCTGCGTCCTCTCCAGAGCTGGGCAGTTTTGTGTTGTCATTGAGGCATGCCGGGTCTCACTGCATTTGTGCAGGTGACCCTGGGCATTGATGGCACCTCCAGGAAAGGCAGGAACAACTTGTCAGCTCGGCCATCTCCGCCGAGAAACATAGCTCTGTTCCTTTCTGGAAGGGGTCCCCAGAAACCTGGAGGAATGCAGGCACGCTGAAGCTTCAGTTCACAGAGGAGTGGGCCTCGGTTTGGCAGAGTGCCTCTTGAGAGGAAGTTTGGAGTTCGTGCTTTACATTCTGTAAGCTGACAAAGCTCTATTTTAATAATGCCTTGTTAATAACTTTTCTATTCAGCAGCACCTTTTTCCCAACGAATTCCCCAAAGCTGTCCCAACCCCAGTTTTATACAGATCCACATGTATAGGCTGTTGCTTTGATTCCAGTTTTACGTAAGAGGGCGCACTGCGGGTGACATGTTCTCAGTGCAGATCTGCAGGCCACCCAAGACGTTGAGAAGCAGGTCTTGCACACGCGACTGCAGGCATGGAGTGCGGCCACGTGTGTGTGTGGATGTGTGGATGGGGGGAGGTTGCAGGGGGCACCTCCCCACCAGTGACTGGGGGCTCCATTCCTTCTCTTCATGGTGGGGACACTGTCAACATAGGATCAGGGAGCTGGGGACGTGACTTCTGAATAAAAAGCAACACTGGTTCTGCAGCTCTGAATGGCCTGTTAGGGCCCCTGTCCGTTAACAGCTCTGTCCCCCAAGTGTTGATAAAGTTGGTTCCATAACAGAAGGGTGTATATGTCTTCCTTCTGCCTTTTCTGCACATTCTAGTTCCTGACATTTTTCTAAAACAGTGGAAACTTAGGAAATGTACAAAGGAGTGGGGGGAATCACTTGCTTTGCCACTCAGAAACCACTCACGTTGACATTTGCACATACTTCCAGTGTGTTTTTGTTTTTCTCTTGTCGGTGAAGGTGTTATAACCGATTGTTATCTGGCTGTATAATACCCCATGGCACCGTAATCTCTCTTTCCCCCCCAGTGTTGGGGAAACCACTTACCCCATCGCCCTTCACCCACCTTCCACCTCCAGGGCCAGCCCTGTCACTCATCCCACCACTGGCTTCAGACTAGAGGCTGCTTGCTCCGGTGCAGTGGCCAGAAGGGACAGGGGACAAGCCGTTTTCTAGAACCTCCATCCCTCCGGGGGGTGTGGCACTGGTGGGGCCTTGGAAGCCAGCTCCAGCCTCCGCCGGGGGTCTCAGTTGCTCAGAGCAGCAGTGCTGGAACTGTGTGATGAGATGTGAACCCGAGGCTTATCCAAGGATCTGTGAGTCTGGTTCTGGGAAGGCTCTGACCCTGTATCTTTAACAGGCTCCCAAGTGGGATGTGTGTGGCTGCCTGGCCATGGTCAGGGCCCAGTCTTACCGCATCGTCCTCCCTTCCCCCAAGTCAGAAGTGGGACGTGCGTGACACAGGGACAAGTGGAGGATGTCCGGCGCCTGAGTTTAGGACGAATAGCCTCAGAACATGACCAGCAAGGACACGGACCGAGAACAGTTTAGTGAGGTGCAGGGTAAGTGGAGGTGGTTCTCTGTGCTCCGTACTGATCGCTTTGGCTTCAAGAGCCCCGGAGAGAAGCACGCAGGCTTCAGTAAAGACTCGTCGGCTGCGTTTCTACTCACTGCTCAAAGCAGCCCAGGACTGCGGACCAGGAGGAAGTCTTAGATTCAGTAAAGCGAAGTCTTGGAAACTGGCTGGCCCAGCAGGGACTTCTGCTTCCTGGGAGAGAGCTGCTGGTGTCACATTCCACCAGAGCCCTCCCCAGTGCACGAGGTGGCTTACGACGTTCCTGTTCAGGTTTTACGGATAGCATGGTGCCAGGAGAGGGGAGGCCTTGCTCCTTGGGTGTCCCTGTCCACCCC